TAATTGGAAAGAGAATTTACAGTGCTATATAGCACACTGGTTTTTAGTACCAAATTTCACCGCTAGGTGTCTCTGTTACATTCACGTAAATTTTAAAAAAAGTAAAAAGGATCAGATTAAATTTTTTACTAAAAGTATATTATTTAGAAGTCAAGATTTGGGTTTTAAATTATTTTAAATTTTTTTAAATAAAACAATTTTATTCGGAAAATGCACTGAATTTTCTATCAAAAAGTTTTATATAACTTTAATAACTCTCATAGAAGTATAAAGTTTGACGCTACAATCTCCATGTTGAACCGTATTCCCGGATGAATGGAAACAGTTTAGAGAGAGTACCGTACCTATACTCAGGGATGGCCTATCTGCATGCATCAAATATTGCATAAATTTTTGAATTGAGAAAATAAAAATGCGCATTTTTATAATATTATTACGTAAATTTTACGTCTACTAAAACCAATAAATTTGCGTAGCTAAGTGTGGGATTTTAAGTCTTTCATGACGTAAGAAGAGCCAAAACCTCTACGCAAAATTTACGTAAAAATGCAAAATGTGACGCTTAAATTGCGCTATTTTTGCGCAATTTGGCTAGCTGGGAGGCCATTAAAAAATCCTGTGTTGACGAAGCGGTCGATATCGACCCCTATCTCTAAAACTATGCATAGTATGAAAAAAGTAAAAATATTTCTGTTCCTCAGGGAACATTTATAAAAAAATTGAAAATTTGAAAAAAAAATATTTTGAAAATTATGAAGTTTGGACATAGACGGTTGAGTTTTAAGTATTATTATGGATTAACAAATCTCAACCAGGCTTAACTTCCCATTTCTAAGGAACACACAGTCCAATGAAATTGCTTCACAGGCAAATTCTCAACCAGGCTTCAATCCCTGGTTATAGATGACACACAGGCCAAATCTTAACCAGGCTACACTCCCCGGTTCTAAAGGATACACAGTCCAATGAAATCACTACACAGGCAATATCTCAAATCATATAATTCAACGACCTTTCTTTTAAGCTTACTTAGGCTTCTGATAACTTAATCAAAAGCAGAGTCTCATTCAACTAACTTTATACAATAGCTTAGGTTGCAAAGTTAACAGGAATTAATGTAAATCAATTCCTACGATGTTAATACTATCACATGATTAAGATCATCACAGATAAAGTTTAAGGTACATATTTAAAGGATTAAAAAGAATAGATATAATGCAGATAATCTTCTCTTCCCATATTTTCAGCGTAATTTAAGTATGTTGCATGATTTGAGGTAATCATGTTAAGTATTCGATTGAAACACAGTTTCAATGAATAATCTAATTATGTCTAAGTTTAAAACATTAAATCATTTATGAGTACAATGTACTGCAAGTTTACAGACTATCATGTGTACCTGCTTTCTGAATTCTCATTCGTTTATAGTGGGCCAACCAATTAATAAATGAATAAAAATATGAAAGGGAGTGTAAATATCAACTATACATGAATGTGCTGAAAAATAATCGATGACTATTGTTTGTAACATCTAAATGATTTGTTTGGAATTAAATTGATTTGTTTTTGATCCGAGTTGAATCTTGCATCTTTTTGATTTGTTTTTAACAATTTTCTCCTTCTAGACGCAACATATAGAAGTAAGATTAGTAGCGATCAAAAGCGCTTTTTTATCGCATCAAGCCTATAGCCCCTTTCATTTTTCGCGAACACTCCCTTTGATATCAGAGGTCTACGATATTCGGCTGCAAAGATATAGAATAAGAAAATCAGAGTTTGTGGCAAGAACTCAGATGATTTCTTTCATTTTTTATTTCTTTTTCATTTTATCTTCTATTTTTGTAGAATCCAGGAATCCGAAAAAGATGGATTAAATGGACTGTTGAGTATCGATCAAGCTAACCTGAGTGAAACCTGATAGAAGACATATTAATAAATATCCAGGTAAATATCCAACTTTTAAGTTTTAAATGGGCCCAAACAGGCCCATAGCTGAACAAAATTGCCATGTTAGTTCCATTTCAATTGGATAAGTAATAATTTTAAAATTTGGGTCAAAAGAGCTGAACACTCACCACAAACTATTATTATTCAAACTCTAAATCATTGTAACCTTGTGACATTTTGACCTTGTGAATAAATATAAAAGATGAACAATATCAGGATGCAAAGATATAGGGTTTAGTAAATTAAAATCTATTGTGAACCGTTCAGTTCCTTTTTGGAATATTATTTTTTTTCTGTAATTACAATTTTTATTTTTCAGGAAACCAGAATGCAAGCAAGCTAGTCATCAGCAGGGATAATCTTCCCCTTAATCTCGATATTCACGATTACAAGCACGCCCTTACCAGAGAATATAACTTCACAGTACACAATAATAGAAGTGACTATAGGACAGTGATGAAATATATAAGAGTGTTTATCTGCAGTTGTGTATTTATCTGTGTTTAATTTTAATCAATGTTCAGTGTTTATTTGTATTTAGTTTCTATTTTAATTTAATGTTAATCTGTGCTTAATGTTAATCTATGTCAACTGTTTATCTGTGTCAACTGTTTATTTGTACGTGTCAACTGTTTTATCTGTTTCAACTGTTTATCTATGTCAACTGATTATCTGTAATTAGTTTTTATTTGTATTTAGTTTTGATCTCTTTTTAGTTTCTATCTGTATTTATTAATCTGTGTTTGGTGTTAATCTGTGTTTATTGTTTTTCTGTGTTTAGGTTTTTTCTGTACTTATTGTTTATCTGAGCTGTATGTTTATCTGTGGTTGGTTTTGAGCTGTGTTTGTTGTTTATCTTTGTTTAGTGTTAATCTGTGTCTAGTGTTATAACTGTGTTTGTTGTTAATCTGTATTTGTTATAAATCTGTGTTTCGTGTTAATCTGTATTTAGTTTTTATCTGTACTTATCTGATTTATAAATATTTTTATTTGATCTTAAGGTTTGGAGTTCAACCTGCATCAACGACAGAGGAGCTAATGACGTTTGAAAGGGAACTGGATGATTCGAAATTCTATGCTGAAGTGGTAATATTGTTTTTTGATCCTTCAAAAGTAATGCCCTGGTAACAGCGAATCAGAAAGACAACTTAAATTTGTGATATTTTGTAAACTAGTGTTATTAGCTATTAACTGCAAATTATTTTTCTCTTGGTATTACAGGGCTGCATACAAAATTTGTCCAGGGGGGGGGGGGGGGTAACCTCTTTTGTTGGTCTCAATATTTTTGCCTCTAAATTTTCCCATATCTTATTCTATTTAGTTCTCAAATATGTATTCCCACGAATTCAATCCGAATTTTGTTAATTCAGTTAAATGTTTTCTACTTCATATACACTCATCTTTCCCTACTTTCTGCAATATTTCAAACTGCCTATTTTTGCATTTTTCCCTCCTTTCCTATACTTCTAAAAAAATGTTGTTTCTCTTGATACTCTTATCTTTTCCCAGTCAGTCAATTATTTTTCAATCCTCTTTTTACAATTTTAATTAGTGTTACTTATTAAATTAATTTCCTAAATAAACTTAAACTTAAAGAGACTTGGGATTTAATTTCAAGCCACTTTCGACTTTATATTTTTGATCCACAGCTTTACTCTTTAACCCATTATCTGAGTAATAATGAGGAAGATATCGCCGTTTTTCTATCAGGAAAATTTCAGTCATTGTCTCTCCATAGCAAAAAAAAAACAGCAATTTACTATTACCGAAAACCCATAATTGAAAGAAAACAATTTTCAGCAAGAAAAATAAGGATATTTCACTCATTAGAAGGTTGAAGGCATAATTGTGAACTACTTTATGAAAGGAGAAAAATTGAAAAATTTAAACGTTTAATAATGGCCAAGATTATATTTAATATTTTCTGCTTTCATAATTTTCAGACAACAGAGTTTTTACTAACATCTAAAATTTTCTAATTTTCTAGTCTTTGTAACCTGGTGCAGTGTAAACTTAGATTACTTAATCAAATAGAATTAAGAGCTTAAAATATTAAAGGTCTACGATATTTGGCTGCAAAGATATAAAGATAATAAAATCAGAGTTTGTGGCAAGAACTCAGTTGATTTGTTTCATTTTTTATTTCTTTTTCATTTTATCTTCTATTTTTTTATCATAGGAATCCAAAAAAGATGGATTATATGGAGTGTTCAGTATGGATCAAGCTAACCTGAGTGAAACCTGATAGAAGACATATTAATAAATATCCAGGTAAACATCCAACTTATAAGTTTTAAATGTGCCCAAACAGGCCCACAGCTGAACAAAATTGCCACGTTAGTTTCATTTCAAATTGTAACCTTGTGACCTTTTGACCTTGTGAATAAATATAAAAGGTCAACAATATCAGGATGCAAAGATATAGGGTTTAATAAATAAAAATTTATTGTGAACTGTTCAGTTCCTTTTTAGAATATTATTATTTTTCTGTAATTACAATTTTTTATTTTTAGGAAACCAGAATGCAAGCAAGCTAGTCATGAGCAGCAATAATCTTCCCCGTCATCTCGATATTCATGATTACAAGCACGCCCTTACCGGAGAATATAACTACACAGTGCACAGTTCATGATAAATTCATAATTACAATAATAGTAGTGACTAGGACAGTGAAAGAACTTAAAAGATGGTCTAATTTAGTGTAAATTGAGAGCAACTATGCGTAATTTGCTTAAAAATGTGCCCAATTTAACAAACTTCCCAATTTAATATTGTTTAAAATTGCATTTTATTTATGAATCTTACCTAAAATGCAACATTATGGTGATTTTTTTTATTCGCTAATATGTCTATAAAAAGTCTGTAAATTTTTTTTTAACTTTGAAAGGCTAAAATTATGATGTACACATGAGGTTTTGTTTGATAAATTGAAACTCTGTCAAATTTGATGAAGTTTATTTTTATCATTTGCAATTAGACTACTTTGAATCCATGCAAAACATTTTATATGCCATAAAACATGTGACTGGTTAAAAATATTATGTTTCTAAACAATTTTTGCGCAAATTTCTTGTCGGTTTTTTTCCTGTTAACAATAAATGGGTCTCTTATTTCAAGTGACCATTCCATGGATGGCAATGCCCGATTTAATGTAATACTAATGTTGAAGATTTAATTGTTTTTCTAGACTTAAACGAATTTATTTGTGATGATTTTTAAATGTTTTCCTGCAGTAGAAATGCACAAATCACTTTTTGCACAATTGAAAATCAGTTTTTTAAAATTATAAACATTGATATCTAAAGCATACTTGATCAGACAAAGCTTTAAGAGTTACCCTTGTAAATCGTACATAACGTTCTATAAATAGAGATTCACTTTAATTTAAGAGTACAGACCCTTTACCTTATCTATTATACACAATTTTACCCGCTTTCACCAAACTTTTTCTAGATGTTTACTTCATATTAAAGTTTCACGGCCAGATTCACCAGATACATGAATGTCAGATTGTAACAATAACACCTCCCCCCCCCTCTGATTAAAAAGTCTAAACTACCCCTCCAGCCCGATCCTAATCAGTTCTGTACTCCTTGTATATATTTAATTAATAGTATTTAAAAGACCAATTCTAATTATCTAGTAGTTTTCTTCTAATTATCGAGTAGTTTTCTTCTAATTATCGAGTAGTTTTCTTCTAATTATCGAGTAGTTTTCTTCTAATTATCGAGTAGTTCTCTTCTAATTATCGAGTAGTTTTCTTCTAATTATCGACTAGTATTCTTCTAATAATCGAATAGTTTTCTTCCAATAATCGACTAGTATTCTTCTAATTATCGACTAGTATTCTTTTAATTATCGACTAGTATTCTTCCAATAATCGAGTAGTTTTCTTCTAATTATCGAGTAGTTTTCTTCTAATAATCGAGCAGCTTTCTTTTCTAATTATCGACTAGTTCTTCTAATTATCGAGTAGCTTTCTTCTAACTATCGAGCAGTTTTCTTGTAATTATCGAGTAGTTTTTTCTAATTATCAAGTAGTTTTCTTCAAGTTATCGAGTAGTTTTCTTTTAATTCTCGAGAAATAATATGCATATTGTTATCGATTAGTTTTGTGTTTTTGCACGAAGCAATTTTTTCTCTGTCTGTGCTCATATACAAATGTATTGTATTTGATAAAAATAAAAAATTTAAAAAAATTTTGTTTTTCTGTTACCCCTTTTTTCTTTTGAAAAGCTTATATTTATAGTTTGTAGAAACCACTCGGATGGTAAAAACATTTTTTATTTATATTTTCTTCTCGTGAATTTGTAAATATGTCTTTCTAGGAAAAACACGTCAGGGAGAGAGAGAGAGAGAGAGATTCGAGGTTTGGTACAAACCATTAGAGCTCAGGGTTCGTGAATTATATATTAAATATTTAAAAATAGCTTCAAACTTTATTTCATGAATGACCACTTTTAGAAACCAAAATTAACTCCCGGATGTCGAAAAACTATATTAAAAAGCCAGGTTGACGTCAAAAGCTGTTCATGAAGAAAATAATAATGTGATGGAACACGTCAGCAGACTGTATTGAGGATATCACTTAGAGACATATGATTGTGGTTTTGATTAAATAGGGTGTCCCACGATGACAGTTTATACATTTCTATGAATATACTGTATTAGATATTAAGGGCATTTTGAAGTTTATTTCGTTTAAACATCCTTTTGCTTAAATATGTTTTAATTTGAAATCAATTTTACCATAACATGACTCCCATATAATTTTTGTATTATTGTCTTTGGTATCAAACAACTTAACAAATCATGGAAGGAGACATTCTTAACTACAGGGTATCCCAAAAAACATGGGAATTCAGTTATGAATTAGCAATGTAATACCTAATTTCTAAAGCCATAATATTATTATGTCTGCTAGAGTTTATTTTATGAAAACGGTAAATGTCTTAAAGATGTGTCTATAATGTCTCCGTAAAATGAACAGTGAAGACGGACAAGTTTACTCTGTTTGTATACTGCAATTTTCTTGTTTTACTAAGTACAACCGGTTGCAGCCAAAACATAAACAAACAAAATGTGAGCAGACGAAACTCTTACAGATTACAGCTTTCTCAGTAGGTATCACTATACTAAATCAAAGAATTATTTAAAAAGACCATTTCGAATTTGTCACTGAATTCCCATGTTTATTGGGACACCCTGTATTCACCAACTTTCATGTTTCGTGGGACACCTCATGTACATTACAAAGATTTAGACGGTAAGACAAATTGCATAATTTTTAAATCGCGTTAAGTTAAAAGAAGTAATTGGCAAATTCTTAACGATTTGGCGTAAAAACTGTTATCTATGTGATTTATTTACAGTGTTATTAAAAAAGGATGAACCTTTTGAGACGATTTTACGGAATTTGTTTGGTATGTTTTCTTATGTTCCTTGTAGGCCAAAAAAGGGCTATTTTTGTGCTTAATTATTTAGTAAACCATTAAAATACTCAATTTAATCCAGAAACTAAAAATCTAGCTTCAAATCGTCATGTTTTTGGTCGTCTTCAGAGTTTCATCTTTTGTGGGTAACCCTGCGGGAATTTTTTTTGGAAAATTCGCAAATTGCAGTTTTCATCAGTTCTTCAAAGTCCATCATGACAGCGAGACTGCTCAATAGCCATGGCAGAATTGTTCTGCCATGGCTAAAACTTTCATAGATGGTAAAGATATTGGACCATCATAAAAATGTTTATAGAGCAAATGACGTGTTATGTCATAGATCAATTGACGTATAGAGCAGATGACATATAGAGCAAACGTCGTGATCTATGAGCTATAGAGCAAATGGTTAATAGAGCAAATGGCCATAGAGCAAATGACCACAGAACAAATGGAAATAGAGCAGATGTCGTAGCGCCGATAAATCTTTATCTTTTCAGGTCAGTGGAAAATATGCCCTCTAAAGGCTACACAGAACTCAGTGAGACACGATGATTGTTATTAATAAAATTAAGAAGTACAGTGGCCGAATTTAAAGAATTTGAGCGGCGGTTTAAATTTAAGCCGCGGCTTAAATATGCTTGGTTCCACTTAAAATTGTATTTAAGCCGGCGCTCAATTTAAACCGGGTTTTGGCAGATTTAAACCGCGGCTCAAATTCTTTAAATTCCATCTCTGTTTTTTTTTAAAAAGCCTTTATTTATACACGATAGGTGTTTAATTCTGATAATTTAAACTTGGTTTCTTATTAGCCGAAGTGTTCGACGTAGCCCGTTGAGTTTTTAAAACACTTTGAACATTTATTAGCCATAGTTTCGAAAACTGTCAGTCTGTTTCATCCAGCCTTTTGGCCAGCTGTAGCTAACATCTCTAAATAAATATATATATATGAGCTAAGAGCTATAATGGTAAGTAAGAAATAATACGCAGAGAAAATAAATACTAATACTAAAGGAATTGAGTCTTTGTTACAGATCCCAACTTTCGAATACCTTTATCTCTACAGTCAGATGTAAACTTTGATATTTTGATTATCTGATATAACAGAAGTCTATAGTTTGAAATTTCTAAGGTCTACAACAGAGATAAGAGAGACTGTATACGACCAATCAGGAGACATCTGTATTAAGGGATATGTATGAATCCTTTGAATAGGAAATGCAAAATCTTTAAAAATAGACAATTTTCATAAACATTATGTTTTATGTTTAAAATTGGAGTATTTCTTTCAAAGTTGTAAAACTTAACCCCTAAATGCAACAAGTGGCCGTTAGATGTCAGTCAAAAAACATTAAATGGAACCGTAGCATGGCGTGCCGGGACACTATAGGCCTGCTCACTGGCTCAGCCTATCCAGATAGTGTGTATGAGACGTCTGCGAAGTCTGTGGTCTACAACAGTGGGATGTAAAGATATAGGAATTTAAAAATCAGAGTTTGTGGCAAAAACTCAATTCCTTTGTGCTTTTATTGTATTTCATTTTTTTAAGTATTTCACAGTAATTATAATGTTTTGTGAATTGGTAATAGTCTAATTAGATTCGTACATGAGGCACCTGGGAAGTGATATAAAATTTGTCTTTCTTTTCATAAAGCAGCAATAGTTCTGCACACGTTCAGGAATTTATGAAAAAAAATAAGAAGTCTAAATCTTAATAAAGGTAGACTTTTTAATACAAATTGTTTAAGAACCATTTTTCGAAAAAAAAAAGCTTTTGGTGGATGTAAAAGCCAAATATAGGTTATTGGATATCAAATTGCAGACGTAGCATGAGGCTCGGAGACGATTTTGATAGGTTAGAAGTTGGCCATTCTGCGAATCAGGAGGCTCTGGTGGTCAGTTTGCGGGGCTCATGGATGCTATGCACCACTCATACCGCAAAATTTACAAAAATCCAACAGCATTATGATGTGTGTTCACTTGATAAACTGCTTTACATTTTACAAAGAAGATTCTACATTGTGCCCATTGTGGGCACGGAGACAAATTGTTTGGGATAGTCTAAAGAATAAGATGAGAAAAATCACAATATTAACTGTCAATACCTGAGAGTTTCAGATTAACACATAATGTAAAAAAAACATTTTAGAGGAAAAAAGGAATTAGTTTTGGGTAAAAATAAGTTTACCAGTTTACATTAAAAGGAATCATAATCATTTCAATTTAAAACTTAAATTTAAAGTGATTTAAAAATCTTTTGCATGACATGGCTGGATTTTTAAAATTTCAATTCCAATTAAGGTTTCCAACGAACTATAACTAATTTCGCAAAAACTTTAAGTTTTGAAGCTGCAACAATGTATTGTGCAAAAAAAAAGTTGTGGAATTCTGTGTTTTCAGAGCTCAGAATTAGAAGTTTTATTATAATTAATAATTTCTCTTTTATTTGCAAATTTTCTCATTTTCCCCTCTCAAAAATTATTGCATTTGTTTTTGGCGAAATTTTCGAATTTCTTTTCACGGAAAACAGATTTTCGTGTGAAACGTGTTACCTTTTTCGCTGGAAGCCCTAATTCCAATTTACCATTTGAAATCGGTAATTGCCGGAATTGTGGCATGGAAGACCGAACAGTTGTGGCTTATGGCTGCCAGAAGACAAAAATGCTAATATGTGGCATGGAAGGGAAAATTTGTGGCTTATGGCCGCCAGCCTTCCTCCCCTCACTGCTGTAATTTCCAGTGACTCCAATAAATTTGATTTCCACAGTTAAAAAAGATAATTTTTCAAAATATCATTACTTCATTAGTCTAAAAAAAACTGTTTTTGTGCTCTAACTCACTTATTAAATAGAAATAAAAAATCAGCAAAAAATTAAATTCTATTCAATATGTTCAATATATATGAACTCCACAGACTGCTTAGCTGCTTTAAAAAGTAAAAAACACCTGAACTAAAATTTATGACTTGAAACCCAATCTCAGAAATTCGTCCTATATATTCATAAAAATTGCACACAAAAAATTAACACAAATAAGTACATTTTTATTTTTTCTATCATTTATTGAGATTTCTTCACATTGACAAAAATGCACAAAATCATATGATCAACATGCTAAACTCAAAGTAAGCACATTTATACACATCTGCACATCAACACAGTCAAGTGAACACAAACATGTGTCTTGAAAATATACAGCACTATTTTTAACCAATTCTACGTAAAATGAACAATTTTTACGTACTTTGGTAAACATGGGACATGTTATCCATATCACAATGTTCTCATACCTAATGAGTACAGTGTACAGAATATGCACACATGTACGCACATGTACACTTTTATCATCTCAATGTACAGAGTACACAGTGTACACATGTACAAAACTCTAGTATCTTCTCTCGCTCGATTTCCGTCCTATACAGTATACACATTACACCGTTCAGTCAAAAGTAGGGTTCAGAGACTTGAGAGGGCTTGGGTGAAGACGGGAATCCTAAAGAGACTGTGAGCGTAATTTCAAGTGACCCTCCATGCAAAGATGGCAATACCCGATTTACAACGGTACCCTTAAACCTTAATCTGATCAAAAATGTGGGGAGCTGTTTATTTCTGCAAGTTTCTCCATTGCTTCTTATGCGCAAGCAATGCGCAAGTCACTTTCCCAGAGAACCCGCAAAGAAAATGAACAGATTAAGAAAGAAAAACAGTGATATCTAATTCATACTTGATCAGACAAAGCTTTTAAGGACATCGTGGTGAATCGGGCATTGCCAAATTTGCATGGATGGTCCCTCGAAATTACACATACAGTTCCTTTAAGACTTGAAATCGGAATAGAACCGGTGGCCGAATTTAAAGAATTTGAGCGGGGTTTAACTTTAAGCCGCGGCTTAAATATGGTTGGTTCCACTTAAAATTGTATCAAATGTTTCAAGATTTAAGCCGGCGCTTAATTTAAACCGGGTTTTGGCAGATTTAAACCGCGGCTCAAATTCTTTAAATTCCATCTCAGGTTTCTAAAATTCCAGTTTCAAGAAAAAGACATACACAAAACTACTGGACATACATATTGTTGCCACAGTTTTTAATAAAATCAAGATTCACAAAATCCCCCAAACCTTCTTTGGTCCAAACTGTACAGTGTACACACAAATTGATTGCACAATACACAAGCATAGGTTAGCACAACGCAATTATTTTTGTGCAGTACACATGTTGTACTGTAAACTCATAATATGACGCATTATTATCCATAAATAATCAAAATTAAGCAAAATCACAAGTGTACTGAATGTACATGTCTCAGTCTGAAGGTTAAAAAATCTGTAAACCATCTTATCAATAAAACAATCAACAAATAAAATAATCAAAAAATGAAGCTCTTAATCAATCTATCAATAAATCAATCAATCAATCAATCAAACAATCAATTAAATTCTATATATTTTAAAAAATCTTCAAAAAATTGGGAGGAGGGGGACTAAAAAAGAATAGAAAACTTCTACACATTTTCGGCCGCTTTCTAATATTATTGAACTTTTCTTAATACTACATTAATTGACCCCTCCCCCTAAAAACAATCATTTTTCCCCCCACAATAACTTAAATTTTTTGTAAAAAAAAATTTGAATACAAATAAAAATCAATTTTAGATACGTGTTCTGCTTTTGTGGAAAATAAAAAATGAAGATAAAGAATTTCAACCTGAAAAGTTTATGTATGGGGTATGCATGGTAACTTTGAAAACATTAATCTGTTGGACAAATAAGCTGAGAAAAGAAAAGATAGTACACAAAAACAAACAATTAAAATTCATCCATCAAATTTTTATTGTAAATTGATACCCACCTCTATTACCATCTCTATGACCTCCTCCAAAGCCTCCTGCTTGACCTCCCCTAGGACCCCATTGAGAGGGTCCACCAGTCCCACCTCCATACCTAGACGATAAAAGGGACATAAAGTGACAAGAGAAAAGAAATAAATTGATATAATAAAAAATGTTTAAAGAAAAAAAAACGATTTTTATCCAGAAATTTTAATTTCACCATCATTTAAGAATAAGTATAAATCCTAACATATTTAAAAATACATATTTACCAGCAATGAAACGGAAATTAAACCTACCCTCGTTCTAGTGCCCATCTGGCCAAATCTGCCATATTAAAAGAGGGTCCAGGTCCTCCAAAGCCACCTGGTCCTCCACCAAAGCCTCCTCCAAATCCTCCTCCGCCCCCTGAGGCAAATCCGCCAAATCCGGAGTTATTTCCGCCAGAAAATTCGCCAAATCCCCCGCCTCCATAGCCAGGGCCTCCAGAAAAACCGCCACTAAAACCACCGTCAAATCCAGCCCCAGGCTAAATAAAGGACGTATACAATGCATATATTTAAAAAAAATGTTATTTTTGTGTCTAAAAATTTTCATTAAATCATTTCATTTAACTTTTTAACTTCTTCATCATCCAAAAGTGTAAACCTCGCTGTATCTGAACACTTAAACTAATGATTTTGCAAGGGAATAAACCTCAAATGTTTAACTATTTTTAAAAAGTATAAAATACGCTTAAAAAAACTGTAAGCGTAATTTCAAGTGACCCTCCATTGCAAAGATGACAATGCACGATTCACAACGGTACCCTCAAGTATGAATTAGATATGCATGTTTGTATATTATAACTGTCATTGTTCATTTTCTCTGCAAAAATGACTTGCACACTTCTTGCTTATAAACAAAATTTGGAAATTCATAGAAATAAACACTTTTCAAGTCGGAAAAACGACGTTATCTTCCACAATTTTGATCAAATTTAGCTATCAAGGGTACCGTTGGATATTGGGGTTTGTTATCTTTGCATGGAGGGTCACTAAAATTACGCTTACAGTCCCTTTTAGTACCTGTCCTTGCTGCGACCCACCAGAAGATTTAGGAACAGCCTGCCCTATTCTCACAGTAACTCCCTAAATAAATAAATTCAAAAATATGGCCCCCTCTCCTTCTTCAAAACTATATTCCCCTCTCCTTCTTCAAAATAGTGCCCCCTCTCCTTCTTGAAAATATGTGCCCCCTCTCCTTCTTTAAAAATATGCGCCCCCTCTCCTTCTTCAAAAATATGTGCCCTCTCTCCTTCTTGAAAATATGTGCCCCCTCTCCTTCTTCAAAAATATGTGCCCTCTCTCCTTCTTTAAAAATATGTGCCCCCTCTCCTTCTTCAAAATTACCCCTTTCCTTCTTCAAAAATATGTGGCCCCTCTCCTTCTTTAAAAATAAGTTTCCTCTATCCTTCTTCAAAAATATGTGCACCTTCTCCTTCTTCAAAAATACTTCCCCCCTTTCCTTTTTCAAAATATGTTCCCCCTCTCCTTTTTCAAAAATATGTGCCCCCTCTTCTTCTTCAAAATGTGTGCCCCTTCTCCTTCTTCATATATGTTCTCCATCTCCTTCTTAAAAAATATGTTCTCTCTCTCCTTCATTAAAATTACCCCTTTCCTTTTTCAAAAATATGTGCCCCCTCTACTTCTACAAAAATATGTGCCCCCTCTCCTTCTTCAAAAATATTTTCCCCCTCTCCTTTTTCAAAAATATGTGCCCCCTCTTCTTCTTCAAAATGTGTGCCCCTTCTCCTTCTTCATATATGTTCTCCATCTCCTTCTTAACAAATATGTTCTCTCTCTCCTTCATTAAAATTACCCCTTTCCTTTTTCAAAAATATGTGCCCCCTCTACTTCTACAAAAATATGTTCCCCCTCTCCTTCTTCAAAAATATGCGCCCCCTCTCCTTCTTCAAAAATATGTGCCCCCTCTCCTACTTAAAAAATATGTTCCCCTTCTTAAAAAATATGTTCCCCCTCTCCTTCTTAAAAAATATGTGCACCCTCTCCTTCTTAAAAAATGGGATCCCCCTCTCCTTCTTCAAAAAAGAAGTCCCCTTATTACCTCCATTAGTAAGCTTATCCCTCTCCAAGATGCCCCTTGCCCTCCCCCCCTTCGGTAAAAAAATATTTCTCTGACCTTCTATCTTACCTTATTCATAAACTTTCAAATCCCCCCCCTTCCGCAACCTTTACCTTGATTCTATGCTCCTTGCCGCGCAAACTTTTCGCCACCTTGCTGTCTGTAAACTAGATATTGCATCAATCAATCAAACAATCATTAAGTCAACCAATCAATTAATCAATAAATTAATCAATAAACTAAATATTGCATTAAACATGTAAAATCAACTCTAACCTGAATGAAAGCAAACTGTCTGAATGGTTTAGGAATATAAACATCCTTTACACAACCAAATCCTTCAAAATGTTCCTAAATAAAAATTTGTAGGGGTATAGATTTTCTCCCTCCTACCTCTTGAAATATCATCCCCCCCCCCCCCGTAATCAGTATGTATTATTATTATCAATATTATCAATATTATCGATATTATCAATACTATCAATAATATCAATAATATCAATAATATCAATAATATCAATATTATCAATATTATCAAATATTACTTCATAACATAATTGATAAATAGATTGATCATTGATAAATTGATTAATTAACTAATTGATTTACGGAATGATTAAATGATCTATTGTTAATTAATTAATTAATTAGTTTATTTAATGATAGAAAACTATTAACCTTTAAATCTTCAACTGACATATCTTCTGTCACATTACCAACAAATATCTTCCAAGAAAAAAATATTTAATTTTTTTAAAAATTTGTTACACGTAACAAAACAAATAATTATTACCAAAAGTTTGAAATGAATTGGCAGAAAAATGAAATGTTATGGCATGGAAGCACGAATAACGAATAGTTGCGGCTCATGGCTGCCTGCCTTTCCCAACAAGCGGCCTTACATCCCTCGCTGCTTATACTAAGATAGCTAATAAACTGGTGTACACTTGTTTGTAAACAAATAGCGTTTTACATTAAATATATAAGATATAAACATTAAACAAATATAGTTTTCTTCCTTGCAGAGAGCTTTTCCTTCATCAGCACTTAAAGTCTTTTCCTCCTTACTTTTAGGAACCTTCAGAAGTCAATCATTTAAGCAATCATTTAAGCAACCAATCAATCAACCATAAAATCAATCAATCAATCAATCAACCAACCATAAAACAATCAGTATGACAATCAATATCTTAGAAAATTAAAAAGATTAATTAAATTAACAATCAATTAAAAATCAATCAATAAATCAATCAATAATTCAACATATTAATCAATAAATGAATTAATATACCACCCAATCAACATACTCAAGCAATCAATCAGTTTACCAATCAATTAAAAAAAGCAATCAATAAAGCAATCGATATTTATAATCAATAAGTAAATGAATAAATAAATAAATTAATTAATTAATCAATTAATCAATTAATCAATCAATCAAACACAAATTTTCATTAATAAGGGGACCACAAAATTTAACAATATTTTTACCTTAATATCACACCAACGTCCTCCAATCATATGCCTTTGCATAGAAACCTTAACAAAAGGGTGAGTAAAAAACGTGATTAGTGTTTTACAAAACCCTATAAAAATGTTTGCAGGGATCATGTTTTAGATACAAAAGTGAACCCAATACAGAAATATTTTTAAATATATAGAAGAAAAATCCGGAAAACTATTTTATGTGTGCGTGAAAAATTAATTTTTTTTCAGATATCGACTAGAAAAGGTTTTATATATTCCCTAAGTTTCTTATAATAATAGAGTTATCATAAAAAATCCCGAAAAATATCAATGTACAAATCTTACCAAAACTTACAAACAGTTTTGTTATTCAAAATGTAACTTATAATAGGGAGAAGTCGAATACAGCAAATATGAAATACATTTTTGATGTTATAACTCTTATGATTTTCATTTCCTTTGTCAATGTATCATTTACTCTCAGCTGCGCCCTCAGGTTTATCATTGAATCCCTAGGGGGTTTAAATTTCCATTGATTCTAATTTCTCTGAGAGTAAATGGCATTCCTTTGTTGATATTTGTAAATATTCCTTTGTAAATATTAAATCGATTAAAAGGGACGGGATTAAATGAGAATTGTTGCATACCAAAAAACCAGCTTTTTATAAAGGAATGAGCTTTTATACATTTTAGAATTGACTAAACATTGCTAGAACTTACTTACCCGACGGATAAGTAAATGTCATAATCCAAGTTGCAAATCTAAAGGAAACTTTATTCTTACCAAGGTTGTATAATAAGGTTGGTTACTATCGATGAGCTCCAATGTACGGAAAATGTCGTCTCCTACGATAGATAGAGAAAAACCTCCTATGTCTGCACTCTCGCTTCTATAATCAGTGACGTCATATGAGGTTTTTATCTATCTTAGAAGACGACATTTTCTATACATTGGAACGCATTGAGAGTAACCAACTTTATTCTACAATATACAACCTTGATTTTTACCTACCTTCTTTTCAACTTCCTTGTCTGCAAACCTTACAAATGCAAATCCTCTAAAGCATAGTTTATTCCTTCCTAATGTTTAACTAATTATAAGACAAAATTTTACGTAAAACGCATTAAAGGGCAAAAAAGCGTATTTTAAAGTGACCCTCCATGCAAAGATACCCGACTTACAACAACCTTGAAACCTTAAAGGGACTGTAGAGGAAAAATGAAAGGGGGTATAGGCTGAAAGCTAAATACTACCGCCAAAGGTAGTGCAGTTTAGTGACGTAATACTGACTTATAAATGATATTATCAATTATATCAAATATATCAAATAAAAATTTTAAAATAATAATTGGAGCTACAATTAATCTAAGCTACAATTAGGTTTCTCTGGGATATCTTCGTTTTAAGATTGGTTGTATATTTACTGAATATGATCTGCTAAAACCTACTATTTCTATACAAAATTGTATAAATATGAATTTTCGCATTTTGTCATAGCTTTATATCAATTTCTCGAGACAGGAACATCAGATAGAACTTTCATGGGTCGCAATCAAGAGCTAAAGTGATTAGCTTTCAGCCTATACTTTCTTTCATTTTTCCT